TCTCTCTCTCTCTCTCTCTCTCTCTCTCTCTCTCTCTCTCTCTATCTCTCTCTCTCTCTCTATCTCTCTCTCTCTCTCTCTCTCTCTCTCTCTCTCATTCTCTCTCTCTCTCTCTCTCTCTCTCTCTCTCTCTCTCTCTCTCTCTCTCTCTCTCTCTCTCTCTCTCTCAGCAAAATGTTTTGCAAATATGATTCCAGTTTCCTTTCTGATGTTATCAAAATCGATCATACTACACATTGGGCATTCCCATAAGTGCTCAGTCTTCCAATGCAGCTGCCACTGCAAGATGCCTCTGTTGATTGTACCCATGAGAAAGTGATTGTCTCCTGTCTTGACCTCAGAGGGGGCAAAATCGGTACCAAGTTTACACCCGAGTCCATGCAATTAAGCTAGCATCAGAGATTATCATCATCCACCAGTCTTGTGTGTACAGGGTCCATATCTGCTCTGTCCGTACTTCTTTCCATGTGTAGTGGTGCCAGTTGATCTGCTCATTCATTACTTTTTACTCTGGCATGTGTGTAGATCCAGAGGAAGGCTAAGTGCGACTAAATGTTTTCTACCCATTCAGACTATACTACCTGTTGCATTATCTGAAGCATGCTCAAAGTCTGGTGTGATTACTACATGTGTGATTGCTTGTTCTGTTGCCAGTGGGTGCTTTTCAGGAAACTCCTGTTAACTCTGTGGTCATGCTTTGTGATAAGATTCTGAACCTTGTTTCTTGTCACCCACTGCTTCATAATGTTGACATACATAAATTCAGATTATTTTCTTTTACTTACTTTCAATTAATAGTCATATGTTTGTTAAACATACATGTTGTTAATTTTGAATAATAAAGTAAAATGTAAATGTTGCAAACACGTGTGATTTACATAATAAATTAAGTACTTATGTAAAACGATTTCAGCAGCACTTATTTTTGTATGCAGGTCTTGTGTTGTCTTTATTTAAATTTGATAAAAGTAGAGAACAGCAACTCTGATCCTCCATGTTGGAGATTGAAACCATGATGCGGCCATTAACCGACCTTTGTAAAACCTAATTTCATCATTTGCTGAAATTCTTGGTTGGATTTTAAATCACTAACTGAAAAGAGAGATTGAGAGGTGGGCAATTATCTGCAGCAAAGAACCTCAAAGGCTTGGAAAGCTAAAGAAAATGTTAAAAAGTTAAGGTCCTCTGCTTCTGTTCTTTATCCTTCAATGAAGTATTGTCTTCTGTTCTTTATCCTTCAATTAAATACAGTCTTCTGTTCTTTATCCTTCAATGAAGGCTGTCTTCTTTTCTTTATTCTTCAGTGATGTACTGTCTTATGTTCTTTATCCTTCAATGAAGTACTGTCTTCTGTTCTTTATCCTTCAATGAAGTACTGTCTTATGTTCTTTATCCTTCAATGAAGTACTGTCTTCTGTTTTTTATCCTTCAGTGAAGTACCTGATCTCAACAAACTCGCATAGAGCTTTTTTTTTTTAAAGGTATTTTCGTAGCTGGCTGTTGTTGCTGAAGCTTTCAACAGGGTTGAGCAGTCACTTAGATCTTGGGTTAAGTTATTTTTTCCAGATGCCGCATGATTTTGTTGATGAGGGCAATTTTTCACAGATCTCTAGGGCATCTTCATTCAATATACAGTCCACCCATCTTTGTGTGACACTGTCAATAGGCTGCAACCAATTCTGTGGAGAGATGAACCCATGTGGGAATTGATCTCCTACTCAGTAATTAGAAGCGGAAGGTTCAACCCACTGCCGTTAACGAGCATTTTGTAAAAACCACTAAGGATTTGCTGAAATAGGATGTGTCAGACGAAAAGGTGTGTAGCATGTATTTTTTGTTTTCAGCCTAGCTGTAAGTTACAGTATACCGACTACCGTTTAAAGGGTAAATGAAGAACACATGTTTTGCCAAGGCTGTTACCCGGTACCTGTTTTTTTATAAGTTGACCAGAAAGCCAAGACCAATTTTCAAAGCATTTGAGGATTTGAACCTAAGGCCAGCAGATGAGCTTCGGGCCACTACGTTACTGACGCACCCAAAAACTAGCTAGACACCCTTCCGAATCATGCATCAGGGCTGTTCAGCTATGTTAACTCAGGGGCCACAATTTTGAAAGTGAAGATCATCATGGACTAGAGACCCCAACCCCAAATTAGAAAGAACATTAATATTCTACAACTGGCAATGACCCGCGGGCCACTTGCTAGGCTTCGATGGGCCAGATTTAGTCTGTGGGCCATCAGTTGAATAACCCTGTTGTATATCATTCACAACGATTTGCTTCTTTGCTTTCTTTTGTGTGATGAACGTAATGGTTTTGGTACCTATTTCAGACCAGAGAGTGACAGCATAAACAAACTCAACAGGAAAGAACAAACATCAGTTTTTAGACTTCGGACAGGACACTGTGATCCTCGAGCACACCTGTACAGGATATGCATAAAAGAATCTGCTGCCTGTGATTGTGGAGCAGAAAGACAGACCCCTGAGCACATACTACAGTACTGCCCTTACCTCTCCTAGCAGAGACTGTGGATCTGGCCCAAGGGAGCCACATTGCAAGAGAAGCTATGGGGGACCGGTGGCGACCTTAAACGCACAATCCTCTTTGTGACTCAGCAGACAGGACTCAATGTTTAGCGGAATTGATGTCGAACAAAAAAGAAGAAGAAAGAGGTAACTATTTGTGGGCTAAGGACAGCAAGGATTCGCCCTTACTGAGATTGACCTCTATTATTTACATAGCCCAGACTGTGTCCTGTGATTTCCTGTCTCGGGACTTCAAAACAGGATAATGACTAACCAGAAAAAGACCCTCACATAGGACCTAAAAGAAGAACATAACAATAAGTTAAGTGAACAAAAAAAATCTATCTTCTTTTACCCCACCAGGGCATCACACAAGCGATAAACACCCGATGACACAAAGTACCACAATGTGGATGAGGATCACTGTGGAGAGGTCCCTGTAACCACGTTCAGCCATTAGGCCATATTTATTGCCAGGCTATATTGCGGCCCCTGGCAAGAGCAAGAGTAGGGCTTCAAATAACGAAAAATTGCATCCCTTAAATGGATGACGAGATAATAAAAAAGAAAAGAAAAAAGAGAGAGAGAGAGAAATGATGAGACACAAACGATGACACCACATCATGCAACAGGATATAAAGAACAAAACTTGACATGAATCAGAGCCAGTTAAGATCAAATGACATGCTAAAAGGAACCGACATAAACGACCCAGATATACAAGAATGTTCGACAATACTTAAAACGGCGACCCTAAGGGACACAATCTATTGTCTGTTGACAGCGCCCGTAGGGGACACAATCTACTGTTTGTGTAATAATGTTCTGTGATGTTTGTGAAGGTTAGGGTTAGCTTTAACTCTACCCCTAACTTCAAACGATATTTAAAAATATTATTATGTGAACTTACACAAACAGTGGATTGCTCCCCTTAGGGTCATCATTTAAAGTACAACTAAGTTAGAACAGATTAAATTCCATAGGTTCACCTTTTTGTGTATTGGCTCGCCAGTAGACGACTTCGTCGGTCGGGACAGTATTTGGGTCTCTGTTGATTGTATCTACACTGCAAGAGTCCTTTCAGAGCTTCTAGGTGGCGTTGAATTCTAAGCCTTTTTTTATCTAAAAAAAATGTCCATAAAAACTGATAATGATGATTGCCGAATGTGCTGCCTCATGACTTAGAGGGCAGTGGTTGCGGTTAACACTTTCCTAATTCCGGAATATTAGAGCTCGTTCCCGGAGACAGAGGGTTTTACAAAATTATGAGCTGTCGTGGTTTTCACACAGTGGTATGATAATCGCGCCTAGGAAGAGAGTGGGATCTCACAACGTACCCCAGAGATAATAGTCGTACGCTGTAGTCAACCATCATTGTGGAGACGGCACAGGCTAACATAGATACAAGAAATGGAAAACTTTAGAACAAGAGACACTAACCCAATAAAACAGCCAGTCATTAAACTTAGCACTAGTAAACCAAGAACAAAATTAACCAAGGATGATCAAAGTATGTTGAACGTGGCAAACATTCCCCCACCCCCCCCCCCCCCCCCCCCCCCCCCAGCCACCTTCCCCCAGCTCCACTTTTTAAGTTGACTTGGCTATATCATTGACCAAAACCCCTTTTTATGGACATAGTTCGCGTATCTAGTCATCGAAACAATAGTTCTGTTGATGTTTCTAGTATGTATGGGGTCGAAAGGTGCAGATGTCGCAGCCTAGCTGTGAACCACAACACAACGTACTAACCGCCATTTTAAAGGCTAACATCCCAAACTTATAATAAAATAAAAAGAAGTAGTGGTAGTAGTAGCAGCAGCAGCGGCAGAAGAAGAAGAAGAAGAAAAAGAAGAAGAAGAAGAAGAAGAAGCTTTAGTAGTATTTTACGATCATTTAAAAGCGATCGTGGTTCATTCCGGTGTATTAAACGTAATGCAACCGGTAATGTGTTTTTTATTATTGAAAATGAGATTTTGCGGTTCCGTAGGAAATCAATCGAAAGACAGCTCTCGCCAAGTCTTCGCCCAGGATTAAGTTGCCTACGTTTTACTGCCTACGCCTGTGTTTTGTATTTGCCTACGTGAGCAGTGTTAACTACCTGCTACATATTCTCTACACGTGTGTGCATTATTAATAATGCTGTGTTCATTTTATCAATAAAAAACAACTGTGTTATTATGGAAACAGCTATACCCTCGACCAGTGTGTTTCATTGGTGAGCACTTAGCTCTCTCTCTCTCTCGTGCGGCTTAAGCTTTGCACATCTTTCCGTCTGGCTGCACGATAAACAGGTTGCCGACAACTGTCAGAATTGTCGTGCTGATAAAACCCTCCGATGTTATTCAATTTTAGGAGATGCTTAATACTCCATGTTGCCTGTTGCGTGTAAGGTTGTGTAACTGCCTGTTTTATTATGTGTACAAACTGTGAGTGAATTCGTTGAGTTCATTTTATCGTCGAAAATGGAGATGTCAGATTCCGACTTTTATGGAATGGACGACGCTCAAGAAGTCGTTGACGAGGAATGGTACAAGAAAAGTAAGTAGGCATATTTTATCAAATGTCTTTATTGTCTTTAAAAAAACGTTTTTTTTCCCCACGTATTATCCAGTTTTACGGTATAGATCAGGGGTCTTTGAGCCTGAAGTTTAGGGCCTTATGGCTAGTGTAGGTTAGGGTTTTGTGGTACCCCCACCCTATAATCCCAGACATTAAAAAAACCCATAACCTTACGGAAGACTCGAACCCCGTCATTCCCACGAAAGCCCAGCGTTCTTGTTTACTGAATTAAACGAACCATTGAGGCCGTAGAACCTTTACGTATATATTCAACACACAGAAATATATCGATTAGCACTCATAGAAGGAAATAGAAAGATAAAAGTACACATTAGACAACATACAATTCATAAGCTACTGTTAGCGTGCCGGGAATCGAACCTGTCACCCTCAAATGACAACAGCGTCCTGCTGCAGAAACAAGTGGACTAAGACGTGTGACCAATTAGGCACGCCTAAAGCGGTGTTTTCATTAGCCATGTCTATTGAATCTCTATATACACACACACACACACACACAAACAAAGAGAAAGAGACAAACAGTTCAAACACTGTTCTTTGACCACGTTATGAGAAGAGAGACATTGGAACGCATAGTGACAGCTGGAAATATCAGTGGGAGGGATATAGACAAAAGAGCTGCTCCAGTCAACCAGGGAATGTGATCTGTGGAAATGCATGAGCGCCTACGCCAGTTGACGGGCACATGATGAGGATGATGTCCATTGAACAGTTTGAATCCACATCTTTGAAAAAAGGCATCATCTTTCTGGAACTTGACCCATTTAATGTTTATTAATTCCCTTAGACTTTTTTTGTTTGGCTCGGTATTTTCTGCAGTATGGGCTCAGGTGTTGAAAATGCGGTTTGGTAATGATTCAGTTGGAGCTGCATTGACAAAGCAAATGATCCTGCTAATCGGGCGTCCCACCCCCCCCCCCCCCCCGGGCCAGTACTGGTTTTAGGAGTAAGCTAACTAAGCTAAAGCTTTAGGGGCCTTGCAATTTTGCAGGGGCCTACATGTCTGTCTGTCTGTATGTATGTATGTATATGTGCGTGCGTGTGTGTGTGTATGTGTCTGTGTGCTTATGTATGTGTGTATATATGTAAATCGGTCACTTAGACTTTCCTCAGTCCCTTGGTCACTAAGTCCCTCGGTCACTCAGTCCCTCGGTCACTCAGTCCCTCGGTCACTCAGTCCCTCGGTAACTTAGTCAGTCAGTTTGTCATTCAGTCAGTCTGTCACTTGGTCATTCAGTCCCTTGGTCACTAAGTCCCTTGGTAACTTAGTCAGTCAGTTTGTCATTCAGTCAGTCTGTCACTTGTTCATTCAGTCCCTTGGTCACTCAGTCCCTCGGTAACTTAGTCAGTCAGTTTTTTCATTGTCAGTCAGTCACTTGGTCACTCAGTCACTTGGTCAGTCAGTAACTCCATCACTCAGTCCCCTGGTCACTCAGTTTATCATTCAGTCCGTCGATCACTTGGTTATTCAGTCAGCCAGTCATTTGGTCAGTCAGTTAGTCACTTGGTCATTCAGTCAGTCCTTCGGTCACTCGTAGAGGCAGTCAGTTTCATGCTCAGTGTCCCGCAGTCACTCGGTCACTTGGCTAAACACTCAGTCAGTCAGTCAGGTATTCACTAACTCAGTCAATCAGGCAGTTGGCCAGCCACTCACTCCGTCAGTTGGCCAGCCAGTCTCGCAGTCGGTCAGTCAGTCATGCAGTCATTTGGCCAGTCGATCAGTCGCTTAGTCAATCAGTTGATGTCGGTCAATCAGTCAATAATGTAGCGTGGATCCGTTTCATTGATCCTATATTTATCGACACACAGGAACAGAGATACCGTCTTCGACAAAGCTGCTTGAAACAAACCACACATCGGTTGAGGGGATGCCTGCTTCTGGTATCGATTTACCCGTCCCAGAGTCCGTCGGTGACTCACCAGATCGTCCGTGCTACCACGGCTAGCCGTGTTAGTGAATAAATATCGGCTGGGATTGTTTCTCCTGCCGGTTAACGACTACATCAGATGTGATAACCAGCTCAATGGCGTGTATTTGCACTCAGGCACACGCAGTTTGTTGTCATTTTGGCTTACATCTGGCAGTCGTTGCGGTGTTTACAGGACCGACTGGATGCCATGCACTCAAAAGATTAGACGATTTTGGTGCCTCCACCCGTCGCAAACCGTTATAATAGATTTAAAGAGCATTATCGGCTCCTGGGCAAACCAGTGTTCTTGGGTCCCTGCGACAATATTCACTTGAAGAAAATGTCCCTAGACATACACAGATTAGCACGGGACCTCTGTGTTCGTGAGGGCCCCTGGGCAAGTGGCCATCGAGATCACGTGTTAAAACAGCGCTAGTACTCCATCACACACACACACACACACACACACACACACACACATGCACACAATTCATAATATTGTATACACAAATTACACTCACACATAATTCAAAATATTTTATAGAATTAAAATTAAACGCACAGACACACACACACACACGATTAAATTGCACGGCTTCACCGGGGATAGTGAAAGAAAGTCCTATTCTGCCATCCTCTATCCCATCTTGGTCCCTGCCTTATATGTGGGCCTAGTGGAAATAGGGGTCTAATTAAAAGCCTATATTTAATACCCCGTCTTCTACTTCATCTTTGTCTCCACCACTGCCGTAACTCTAATCATTGCGCCTAAGTCCACCCGAGGCATCCCCTGTAACACTAACACCAGCATTTAACATTTTTGGGGACAGACACATATATTGTCTCAGACACATGTAGATATGTATCATTTTTACAAATTACCCTTTCGAGAGATGTAATAGGGAAACAATATTCAAAGGGATATATCTCTAGTCAAAGTTTACTTTTACTGATTGTTGCAATAAATAATGCAAATGCACATAAAGATGACCGCCAATATGACTGTTACATTAAAGATTGAGCCATAATGGCAGTTGAAAGTTTAACCCATGTAGTAGTCATGGTTTCTGAGGAGTTAACATTTCATTTTAAATAAACACATGAAATACAGAGAGGGTTTATGATTTATAATATATAGGAAGTCTCTGATGTTGGATGCAATTTTTAGCTGTTTTAAAACCCCACCCTGGATTTTGCCGGGGGCCCTAAATATAGCCTTCACATATGTTTTAAAAAATAGAAATATATTGATTGGCACTCATAGAATGAAGTAGAAAGATAGAATAATACACTAGACAACATACATTTCGTAAGCTTCAGTTACCCTTCCGGGAATCAAACCTGTCACACTCAAATGACAACAGCGCCATGCTGCAGAAACATATGGAATAAGACGTATGACCAATTAGCCACCATCTTCAGCTGCAAGCAAAGAGTTCCAGTTCTGATAGCACTATAATGCCGTCTCGTTTCTTCCCTTAGTGCTGATCATCGATCAGATCCCCTGGTCCCTCCTCACTGGGCTATTCTCTTCAGACCAAGATGATCTGTCTGTGTCTCTGCACTGTTCACTCGCTCCGAAATGGTCCTTACAACTTCCAGCTTGTGTTGTATTATTTATGGTGCAGAACCATCCAGTCTATGTGCCTGTTCATTTCCTACCACACCCACGTAAATCGGGAAAATATCCAAAGGACGCTAACCGTCCAGGACCTTGGAAGCGATGCTTGCCACTCTGCTCTGCTCATATCTGTCTCCACCTTTCACAACATGCTCTGTGAAACAGTTACAATCACGAAATGTGTGATCAGTTGGTTTTCAGACAGGCAGAGGTGACTGCGTTAAATACGATAGCCAAACCAGTTGCTTATTTGTGTACTCATGCACACACGTGTATGTTATCGTTTTAGTATACGTCTTGTTTCATGGCAATTGTTGCGATGTTTCTTTTGTCCGCTCTACATAGTTCTTTTAATTCTTCTCTTCCTGTGTCAGTATCTGTGACTTAGGGATTACCTTCTTCTTCTTCTGCCTTCGACATCGGTCATGCTAAACATTGAGTGCCATCTGGGTCATAAATAGGATTGTGCGTTTAATGTCGCCACCGGTCCCCCATAGCTTCTCTTGCAATGTGGCTCCCTTGGGCCAGATCCACAGTCGTTGCTGGGAGAGGTTAGGGCAGTACTATAATATGTGCTCAGGGGTCTGTCTTTCTGCTCCTCAATCACAGGCAGCAGATTCTTTTATGCCTATCCAGTACAAGTGTGCTCGAAGACCGCAGTGTCCAGTCTGAAGTCTAAAAATTGATGTTTATTCCTTCCTGTTGAGTTTGTTTATGCTGTCAATCTCTGGTCTGTAATCTCCATTCTGTTTGAAAGACTGATTTAGCGCTGTTTTGGTTTCCTTGTAGCTGTGTGGTGGATGAGGTTGTGGAAGATAACTCCCAGCTTTTGCCAACTCATCTGCTCTCTCATTTCCTTGAATACCACAGTGGGCTGGTATCCACTGCCAGACCAGTTCTGCTTCCTTGGAGAGTAGGCCAATGTTGGTCCTTAGATCTGCAATTATTTTGTCTTTTTTTTTTTGCTTGATAGTGCTTGGAGAACAGACAATGAGTCACTAAGTATAACAATTGTGTGCCCTCTGTGTTCTTGATTGATGGGATGTTGGACTGCAGAAAGGAGGGCAGTTGCCTCAGCTCTGAAGTTAGTGCAGATGTCACCTGCTGGTAGAGAGAGAGAGTTTCTGCTCTACTGCTAGGAGGTTTAATGTATATTCCACAACTCCCCTTTCTGACTGCATCATAATTCCGCTAGCGAGTGGACAGTGCACGGACACAAATAGATCATTACGGTCTGAGGAGATTGGCGCTGCGAGGAGTTACCATGGGATCTGGCCGCCGCTCAACATTCAAGGAAAAGGCGAGAGGGATATACAATCAGGCAGTTACTAGTGCCATCGGAATTGGAACTCTTCGCTTGTTGTTGAAGATGGGGTGGAAAAGGAGGGGGCAGGAGCTTAGGGGGACTGATCGCTTATAGCAGTGTC